TAGGCTAACAACCGGCTCACGCGGTGCATGGAGCAGGCGTGTAGTCGGGCCAGCATCCCCAGGCTACACATAGCCAACTAGCGGCAGATGACAGTTAATATCGTTAAAACTAAGTTTGTAGCTAACGTTGGGTGCTTTGAGGTTGACGACGGAGCTAACGACGAGGATGCCGAAGAGATTAAGGCTAACATTCGGGTTATGACCAAGCAGCGGAACCATAGTACGCGGACTATTAACCGGGCATATGCAAACCAACATAATGCTAACTTTGGGAATGTATGAGATGGCCTTATCCGCCGGAATTTGCGTGCTTCAACTCTGTGGAAGGACTTGTGGGGGCTTGACCAGCTGCTTGGACCTGCTAGGAAGAGGAAGCGGGATGGTGAAGACATTAGTAGTCCGCAAATGCTCAAGAAGATCGCTATGGGGGTCTACCGGCCACGGAAGAAGTGGTTAGCTATAGCTCTACTAAAGAGCGCCAGAAAGCTGTACTAGGATGACACGCTGCAATGGAGGTTAGTAGCCTAGGAACGGGCTGTGACTACTGTTATGTCATGGACTAAGCAGGTAGTGGTTATTATAGCTACTAGCGAGGGGAAGAGCCTGCTGTTTATACTACCCTGCATCCTCCCTAATGCTAGGGTGACGATCTTAGTCTTGCCCCTTGTGTCTCTGCGAGGGGACCTCCTCCGCCGAGTCCGAGAGTTGGGGATCGATCACTTAGTGTGGGCGCCTAGTGAGCAGCAAGATGCACCCTTGGTGTTTGTTATAGTTGAAGCAGTATGTACGGAACAGTTTCGGACTTATGCCCACAAGCTCGCAGCTACACAAGACCTCGGCCGCATTGTGTTTGATAAGGCTTACTTAACCATCATAGCGTCCGACTATCGCTAGGCTATAGTTAACCTCGCCTTGATCCACAACGTCCGTACGCAGTTTGTTTACTTAATAGCCACTCTACTACCAATAATGCAGGCCACATTTGAAGAGCAGAACAACTTAGTGAATCCTAAAGTGATCCGGGTATCGACGAACCGGCGGAACCTCTTCTATATAGTACAGCGGGCCACTAGGCTAGGGACTCTTCTAGAGGAGGGCGCGCGGAGGGCTCGGGACGCGTGGGAGAATAGCCGGCTCTTGGATCGGGCTCGAGACAAGATCATCTTGTACGTGCGGATAAAGGAAGATGCTGCTACGCTAGCCGAGCTGCTCTGCTGCTCCCAGTACATAGCCGACGTAGGCACGGCTGAGCAGAAGGAGGAGCTGCTGAGAACGTGGCTTGCCTCCTCGGACCAGCCGTATATCGTGGCCACGTCTGCACTAAGCGCCGGCTTCG